AAAATAAATAAATAAATAAATAGGCTTAATTATCTTTGGAAAAATCATTATTATTAATCTTGAAAATATTATATATTTTAAATTTAATAATTTCAAAATAGTTTGGCCAAGTATTTAATTTTATGTACTGTATTTAGGCCTTATATTCATGTTTAAAAAAAACTTTGTAACTGTATTTTATATTTATTATCTGTAATTGATACTTCAAAAGTGTGATAAATGATATCGAATTTAATCGTAATTTATATGGAATACTTGTATTCTCATTAAAGTTGAAAATACAATATTTTGATTATTCAAAATATAAATATTCAGTTACTTTATATGAGAAGTGTATGTTAAAAAATTAAAATATGGAAAAAAATAATAATTAATATGAAAAAGTTAGCCATTTGCTTGTAAATTTGAACATAATTTAATTTAAAAATTAAATATAATAAGCTGGCAACATATTAATCTCAATGAATATTAATGTGAAGCAAGCAAGCAATGTTTAACAGTTGATTCACACCCGAAGTAAAATGCTTGAAAAAAAATAATAATAACTAAGCGAATTCATTCATTTATTTTGTTTTTTTAGTCAGAAAGCTTTTTTCTATAATTAATTTATTATTGCAATCACTGTCTGTGCCAGAGACGACAGGCTTAGCCCCAATTCGAATTACAGTAGCCTCCTATAGAAGCATGGCTGATAGTTGCAATTTTCCGAAGAGACAGCGTGAGGCTCTGAGGGTGGGAGAAAGAAGTGGAGATCTTATGGAAGACTCAAGCGTCTGACAAGCAACAGCAATCTCGTCAGACTCGCAATTACCCGAGATCGGGAGGTGGAGGGGTATATTCCCACCCCGTCAGGGAACGGGTGAGTAAAAATGCGAAGGAATTAATCATTCTTTGACAGTCTCCTAATCACTGCAGACCAGACTCCCTGGTCCCAAAATCATACCACTTTACCTCCCCTCCTCTGTTTACGTCAGGGTTGTCTCCTGTTCTTCCTGGCGCGGGAGGAACAAAAGGACCTCCTTCTCGACTGGAAAAAGTCAGTTAGTTTTTCTTTGTCGCCTGTTATTAGATAGACCATACAATGGATATTGAAGCAACAATTCCAAAGAAACATGTTACTCGCATCGACTATAAGAATACGTGGTGGCAATTAATGTCTATTTATATAGGCCTAGCATTCAAATGACCTATGATCTTTATTCTTTTGAAGAAGGCAGAATTTTTATTAAGCTCTCTTCAAACATTTTCTCTGTAAGATTTGAGCCGAGAAAAAATTAAAAACAATCTTATCTAATGCAATTTTGCTTTCACTTCTTACGTAGGGTTGTTTTTTTTATTCACATTTGACTATAATGTGTTATTAAGTTAATTACCTAGATTATGACGAATTATAAAAGAAAGTTTCCTCAAGATACATTACACAGAACAACAATCAAATTCAAGTTTCAATACTGACGTTCACAGAAAAAATAATTACTTTCATATACTGTATTCGACTTGTTTGTCATATGTCATGTAATTAATTCAAAATGAAAACTGGAATCTAAAATTAAATCAAAGCTAGGCCTACCAGGCTATAAATGGTATTACACTCACCAGAAACTTACCTGATTTTTAGACTGCATATTCAAGTTTCATTGCGAAAATATTGTTAAAACCTGACCCATATATGTTAATTTTTTAAATATTTTTGTAGGCTGTAATGTTCACTTGTTAATTAAAATAAGAAACGATTTATAAAATATTTTTGGTGTTAAAATAGACTAAACTTTACTACTTAACTGAACTTAATTGTAAGAACGATTGAGATATGAGAATTAAATGACTAACAAAGGCTTTCATTTCTCACAAAAATCATTATCAGAATTCGGTTTCAAATAACGTGAAATAATTTCTATTCATTTCTATGAATATATGAACTTAAACTTTGCAGATCAATAATTTATTTAACATTTATACTTCTCGATTACGGATCATTAAACACAAATTCTGATGTAAATATAAATTATGTTTTAATCATTTTTTAACTTTTGACTAATCATTAGTCGGTAAATATCGATCTTTTATAGTTAAATTCGATTATATGTTTTTGCATTCTGTGCAGAATATATCTATAATATCTTAAATATAGTCTATACAGGCTTATAGGTGTGTGATCTTGACATTAAAATTTTCAGTCATCCTTGACACAATAAATAGTCAGCTGGGAGGAATAACCACACCTACACCAACTAGTTGCAATAGTCCAATATCCATCTCATCTTTAAACGGGTGGACGTACCAGCCGTTTGAACATCATTAATATCTCTCCCTCCTCCAGCTACTTTCACGATCGTGACGGGTTCATTATTTATACGTAGTCGAGACGAGAAAGCAAAGCCTTTGATGTCTCAATTCTTATATATATATAGGCCTATAGATGTATAGATTTGTAATGCCGCATTTATATTCTCTTCTAATTGATTGATAAATCATTGTTCGCGGGTTTATACTTGTTAAAAATTGACATCAGTTGTATGAAAATGTGATGAAGCGATCATTTGAAGTTTAATTGTTTGTGTTTTACTTTACCCGTAGTGTTTACTGTGTTGTTACAATACGTGTAGGCTTGTAAGTGATGATCACCCGTATAATTTTATATTATTAATCGTGTTGTTTGAAAATAAATATATTGTGAAAGTGTAAGTGATTGTCAGCAAACGAAAAACAAAACGATGTTGGAAATAGCATCGATGTTTATTTGTTTCTAAAAACAACACCGGTTTATATTGATGGGCTCTGTGGTGGGTGCATAAAGAAATGGTGCAGGCACAACTGTTTTTGTACCAGTTTAAAATAAAAGATAGAGAACGTGGGAAGATAGTTGGGAGTCAAGTGTATAGAAAAATACATGTACAATGAAAGTGAGCGACAATATTATAGGCCTGTACAAAGACAAGCATGATTGTACAAGAATTTACATTTTGGGATTTTTTTTTCCACAAAGATCGTCACTGTGCTTTTCCTCGTAGCTTTAAAAATGAATAATTTAACAAGAAAATGGGCCTATAGTCTTATAAGAACATAAGCACGACAATTGAACTAGTCTATTATCATTAAGTATCTATTGTACAAAGTAGCAGATAACTTCTCATAAAATTAAAGGCCTAGAGTTATTTATAAATAATTATGAGATGAAACATGTTATGGGGCGTCGTAAATGGTTATAAACAATTATACAAAAAAACAAATAAAAAACAATGAGTATTTTTTATCATGAAGATATATGATGATATAGTTTATCGTTGGGGGAAAACTTACAATTCTAAACTAAAGCTGAATAAAATAAATAACTTTTTATAGTCCTTGAAAGGTAAACTATAATCCACGATATTGTAATTTAATATAAAACTTAAAATGTTGAGTTATGTATCTGCCGATTCGTGAAAGCAACATAGCATATTCAAACTTAAAAAGTTGGGGCAAAAATAGTTCTAAAGCTATTCTCACTTATTCTACAGGGCTATTTACAAGATGCAGTTTTTTTTTTGTTTTTTAGCTGTACACAATTCGGTTTCAGGACTAATACACCGGTCACACTAATTGCTGTTATTATATTTAGTACAGCAAAATCACTTTTCATTGGCTGCAATCTTTTTGCGTCGTCGCTGTTCCTCCCGAATTAGGTGAAACTGTTGGATTTTGTTGACCCGAATTCGATGTTGTAACGTCACCCGTCGGATTTTCCGGCGGTACTAAACCCTCTTTCATTCTTTTCTTTTGCTTCATCCTTCTATTTTGGAACCATATCTTGACTTGGGTCTCATTTAGTTGAAGAGCTGTGGCTATTTCGATCCTTCTTGCTCTTGTTAAATATTTGTTGAAATGAAATTCTTTTTCGAGTTCTGTTAGTTGTTTTGTTGTAAAGTTGGTCCTACCTGTTCCACCTGGACCTGCAGCTGCCCCATTGGTGCCCGTACCTCCACCACTAAAACCGTAATCGGTCTTATTCACTGAAAAAGAAAAGACATAGTTTAGAATTTTCGTGCCTTTGCCTAAGGCAATAGCATTGAACTACACTATAATCTACAAATAAACATGGCAAAAAGTTAGAATTAATGTTTAAAATACCATTTTTTACCATGAATATTAAAATTATTTATAATTTTACCACTAAAAATATCAATCTGTGAAAGTATTTATATTTTAAATAATAATTAAACAGAAATATTAAAAATTATATTCAGATACATTAAATAACTTAATTATAAATGTATTATTAATTTTATACTCAAATAAACTTAAATTACCGTAACTTTTTCAAGCTACAAATACACTTAGATTTACTTTTAATTACAATTACTAGCGTAAATTCCGATAGAAATTAAGGTTAAAGCTGTTTTCTTGTTATCCAATTAAATAAAAAAAGAGCAGCAGTCCATCGCACTTCGGTAGAACTTTCATGAATATTCAAAATAGTGCAATAAGATCGAGTGATTCCTCTGTTATTATTGACGTGAATACAACCTGAGCGATTATCAGTCTAGAGAAGATAGATTGTCAATTAAGAAACTGTTCGTCCGTTTCCATAATCGACATCAACTTGTGAGGTCGATTGAAAGATAAAGGGCTAAACGAAGACTTCAAGACAGCTTGTGACATTAGTAAGTCTACATTTTAAACATATTATATAAAAATATACAAAAATCTATTAATCATTTCATCTAAGCGATTAAGATTTTTTGCATTTTTGTAGCTCGTGAGTTGCATATTAATAACAGAGAAGCATGATTATAAAAGATTACTTATTTACAATAATTAAACCAATACTTTTAATTACTATACTTGATCTAATAAATGCATTGAAACTTTAGAAAAATGAGTTCAATCGACCAGATTGTTGAGTCTAAAATAAATTTATTGCATTTTAAACTGAACCAATTTTTATACATCGAACGTTTTTATTGAAGAAAAGAAATAAAAATTGTCTTTAAATTTTTTCCCCCTACGCAGGTCCATGTGAAAGATGCACATTTTGTCCGCTTCACACGATCTCCTTCATTCGTCAACGTCATTGATATGGCTGACGATTCTATTTTCTGTGTTATGCAAGATGCCATCTTTATGGACGTTTTCATTTTTATACAAAATATTGTTTGAAAACGAAAAAAAAAAACAAAAAAAAAATCAGTAAACTTTAGTATTTTTTTTTTTGCTTAGGATCAATAACATAAATCCTTAATTATAAGATAAATAAAGGATATTTTAACTTAATTTAATTGAAAAAATTGTAAGAAATTCGAATCTAATTTGTATAACATCGATAAACGATACTGGCAAATCTGTAGAACCAATATTTCAAGTGAGTCACAAAATTATTCTTCGTGACTCATCGTGACATCATAGTCAGCATCCTACTATTTACTTCGGATTATAAATTGAAAACAGAAAACAATATAAAAAAAGCTTATAAACACAGTTAATATTAACTAATTTCTGAATAAAGAGCGAGTAAATTAGTCTTATAAAACGTATTCATTAATTATAATTACTTGAAACTCATTTAGATTTATAACAAACGCTTACTTTTTCAATTACAAAAGGAAGAAATGTTTCAAAGATTATCGTAAAGTTTCCAATTTACGAGAAGAAAAAGAGAAGAATCGAGAGAGAGAGAGGGAGGGGAAAAAAGTGGAAGGGAGAGGAAAAAAAGTGGGATAGAGGGGAAGACTTAAGTGAAAGAGAGGGAAAGAAACAGAAAATGTTCATCCCAAATTAATTAAGCATTTCGATCGACGCGAGATTCTCGTTCACTGTTGTTAATCTTCTGCTCGTTAAACGAATCTTGTTTCTAGACCATAATTACTTTAGCGCCGCCAAGTGCTGTCTTCTGATAATAGAATAGGTTGTGACGATAAACGTGACGCATGCGTATTATTTTTTCGCCTTTCGTCGTGTTTCGTGCCCAACTAGTTGATGTTTTTCCCTAACCGCAGCTGTCGCGAATGGAGTGATTTATCGTCCTCTTTTCTCCACATTATTCTTTTACGCTAGAGAAACAGTAACGGATAAAAATTAGGCTATTGTGTAATCATTTCTTCCCCAACTCATTCAAATAACTAAGCTATACATGATTCAAATAACTGTTGTTAACAGTTTATAGTCCAACAATCAGTTTTGTGTATTCTATTAATTTCTCTACCATCATTTCTTATTAAAATAACAAATTAAATGAACATTCTAAACGTTTAAAATATTCTAGAACGTTTTCTAGAAGTTTGTTGATTTCTCTACAGTTGTGTACATTTCTTTATAGTTGTGTATATTTCATTATAGTTGTTGTGTATATTCCTCTATGTTTGTTATGAAATTAACTAATTAAATGATTATTCTAGATGTTTGAAATATTCTAGAATGTTCCCTGGAAGTTTTCCTCCTAAATAATTAAATAAAGCAGTAAAAAAATATATTTTTATGTGCTTTAAAGAGATTGTTAATATAAAATTAATCATTTGTATGCGAGACAGTGGATTAATGCTGTTGTAAATTGGCAATTTCCTCTAATTTATTATTGTATTTTATGAAATGAATTTTGCATGATTGACTATTAATGAATATTCTTTCTTTTTATTTGCTTTCTGAATTAAATAAATCTAAATAGATTTAACTTTAAAAACTATCTTATTTGAAAATAATAGAACTCTAATTTACAAGTAAAATGTCTTGGGGAAGATTGGAATTCTGTTAGAATAAATTGTCTAGAATGTTTTTCTTTTNAGAGTTAGAGATTATACTTTAATTCATAAAAGAATAATATTTTATACAAAAATATTTATAGATTTATAACTTTTAAACTTTTAACGCAATATGTAAATAATCTAGTTCATGACTATCTTCGATATCCTCAGTTATAACGACAAGTAATTTAAACTTATCATCATGCAGTAGAAAGACACTTTACATTTGACATCATCATGATAGAAGACGATTTAGCGTGTGTATTTCTGAATCTTAGCACGTCATGATCACTTTTGATAGCTTGATGTCCCAACTGACTATATTCGTTTTCATTTTACAAGAATGTAGCTTCATAAGAACTTTTTCTGAATTTATGAGCAGGATATTTATAAAAGTGATAAGGTTTTGTTATCTTTATGCCATCGTATGTGATATAAATCTCTTTAAAAATATATATAAGATTTATATAATATATTTTTATCAAACACTGCATCTTAACAACTTATTCTATAAAATATTTAAAAAAACTTGTGTTTTAGAGTAGAAATTTTATTATTATTTTTTATTACGATTTAAAGTAATAGTAGGCCTAAATTAATTAATTTAATTTCATGTGTTTTTTTTATATTTAAAACTGTTTAATTTAGTGGATTTTGATGATTTTTGTACAGTACAAGTAAATGAACTTGTTTATTCGTAAATATTGTTTTTTTGAGGTAAACAAGAAATAAACGGAGTTACAACATCTAAAATATTGTAATAATAACATTCTATATATTCGTGAAGGAATACCATTAAACAAAGAAATGACATTCTTGGCATCAAATGACGAATGCTTCTACGTTCGGAGTGAGTAATGAATAGGTCCTAGCAAAGATTCTCAACAATCCATTTCTGAACTGGAAGTATGCATTTCTGTTCTCCAAAATGACGAAGAAACAGAAATAGACCACACAAGGAGACAACGTCTTAGAAACAAAGATAGAAATGTATAATTTCTTGCTCGACAGTGAAGAATGAGTTTTGAGAGACATTCCCAAAATATACTAACTTGTATAGGAATATTTCGGTAAGAGCGTAAAGATTTGATTGGATGGACGAAAGCACGTGACTTAGAGATGCAACTTGCATATTACCATTCCCAGCGCGGTACCCATTGTCAACATGTACCAAGTTTATGAGTGATGGGACGCAAGAGACTCCATCGGTCTTTGCTGGTGTTACCAGGAGCCGCCCACAAGAGTTCGTAAGCGTCGACCATTCCTGTCATCAGATGACGTCAAAACGACGTCAATGCTAAGACAGCTGTCGTATTTCCTGTTCTGGTCCCTTTAGGTTCGTCAGACTACATTTACTCTACGAAACAAATTTTCTATAGAGAAAAAATATACAATATATTGTATGTTCCCATTATTTAATATAAAGCAATAGATCAAAATAGAAAAATTTATAAAGGAGAATAAAGTTACTTAAGTTACCGAAAGTTTCAGATTATCCATCAATTTTAAAATAAAAACAATCGACTTTCCATTAGAAACAAACCACTTCTAAGTAAATGTAAATCTTTACAATACACTTATAATTCTATCAATATACATATTAGTTAAACAATATTTTTAGACTTCAGAGCTTGCATTCGATTATAACTGGGTTCTGTTAATTAATTAGTAACAATTAAACTTTATTAGAATTANTTAGATTGATTGAACCTTGGACTGGCTTCTTTATATAAAATGCTTCAATGGAAAAATACCATGCATTGATTTATTTCTAATTAAAATAAATAAATAAATATAACTACATAATTATTTCATTAAAAAAATCTATTCTTAAAAAACAAATTCAGAATCATATGTTTTAAAGACAATATAATATCCATTAATTCTCATAAATTGATCTTAATTTTTTTAAACATATATATATATGAGATTTCTTTATCAAGGCAGTTAAAGGAAAATCAATCTAATCTATAAACAAAATAAAATTAAGAAAAGCCAGGTCATGCCAAATGACGTCTTTGATGATGCATGGCTTTTTAATTGACCATCGTTCAAATTCATAGATGCTTTACAGTTCGTAACCTGATAGACTAAATGAGGCTCGATATTTAGTGTGTTTTCTGATAATCAAAGGTAATGCGGATTTCTAAATAGAGTATAAAATTCGCTCATTATGAAAATAACCCATTTACTTGATATCCTTTAATTTTTCCAAAAAATAAGACGGATAATTAAGCTATAATTTATCTGATTCACCTAAAAAAAAAGTGAATAAAAATGGAAGAATATTTAGCAAAAATTAGCCACAATTTTTAAACAAAACTTCATTAAGTTTAATTCCATATTGCTAACGATGAATTCTAATTAAACGATCACGAGAATTTCAATACGTTTAAGTTAATTTTTAATAAAAAGATGCTTTATATAAATACTTAAATATGTGTACAAAATATAAATAAATTTAGGCCTAAGATATTATAAATTATATAGCTTATATATTAGAATATTTTATATCTGTATCGATTATGTTTATATAATTCTAGGTAGGCCTATCTTTACCTGTATAAAGCGTTTGTATATTTAATATAAGTATTTGTATTGCTTGCGTCACGCTTTAATCAATAAATTTTAAACCTATTTAAGAATTTTTCAGGGATAATTTGTTAATTATCCCTGAAAAATTGGGATTCTAGAAGATAAGCGCTTGTATAAACTTTCATTAAACTTAAATATTAGCTATTTTATATTTTATAGGTCTAATCTTATGTTATAGATATTTAAAAAGTAGGCCTAAATGTTAATTTAAGTATCAATACTGCGATAAGTTTAAAGATATAGTCAGGTACTGTGTAGCTTGAGATTTTTATAATTAAATTAGGCTAATTGTTAATATGAAAGAATATTAAATATTTATTATTAAAATGTTATTAAACGGAAAGTAATTATTCATTTTTAGCGAAATAAATAAAATGTTCCAGTTAAAAGCAGCCATTTAAAACAAGGTTTTATTTATAGCGCTTAGTCAGCGCACCATTCGTCCGTATTTCGAAAATTTAGCTCATCGAGTTATCTATTTATGTGTATATTTTGGTGTAAAAGATAGCATAAAAATGATATTACTCAAGAGCGAGCTCTTTACAACTCAATCGGAACTCAACAAGCAAACCGCAAGAGATCATGAAGAGTGAAACACGTTGATGGTTGCCAGGAGACACTCGGGGAGCGAGAAACTGCGAAGTGTGGGGGTGAAACAGGGGCAGTCAGAACCATACAAATGACTTCCAGGACGTTTACCGTTGGCCTGGATCGCCATTTATCAAGCTGGAGGCCGTGAACGAAACACTTAGCAGCACAGTCGACGAGACAAGATGCGTAGGAAAACAATTAATCAAGATGGGGAGAAGAGAGACCCTTCTCTTCGTCTTTCTCTACATTTTCGTCTGACCTTCCATTTCGAAAATTCATCTGCTGATTTGACTGCTGTGGATGGATGACACTTCAGTGCTTTCCTTGATCGACTCGCTAATGGTGGAAAAGTGTCACTCAAAATGAAAATACTCGTAACAACTAAGTTGAAATTCCCAAGTTTTCTAGCAATAAAACAAAAGTCGAAACATATTTACTTCATAAAAGTTGTCTTTTAGAAATAGATTTATTACGGGACGACACGAGAAATAAAAGAATTTCGTTTACGCATTACATGAATAGGCAGGAAAATATGACTTTGCAATTGGTTTTTGATTTATGAGATGATGCATGCCAGTTCTTTAATGCGAAATGGCGGTCTCTGCGTTGCAAGCGGATGATATCAATATTAGATATACTATGTTGATCATTTTGCAAAACAAGTTCGAAATGGTTAAAAGGATTGATTAAGATCAGCGACAGATGCCATCTATCATATATCACAATATACATCAATCCATATTAATACTATATTTGTATAAGTTTTGATGTAGATAATCAAAAACTCAATACATTTTATTCTATCAGAAAAATCACGTATTACTATATTTTATAGAATAAAATATTACAAGAAATGATTTTTATATAAACTATCATAAATCTTACAAGCGCAGATAAAATTTATTTATTCATTTAGGCAAAATGTCTGTTCTATAAACTTATATTTTATACGTATTTATTTATTGTTATCTTTATTTTATATGATATTCAACATGAATAAAGTTATTCGGTTACCATTATTGAACATCGCTTTCATTTTCTTCTGTCTTATTTATTTATAAGAAAGTGTTGGAGATAAATCGAATGTCTTGCATAAACGTATCCAAACTAGTTGATACCTTCTTATAAATTTTTCAACATTTGCTTGGAGCGATAGCAACACAAATCGAGGAAGAATGGAACAATTCAAATACCTCTCCTTATTATTCCCTACAAATAATTAAAACTTAAAAAAATAATAACAAATTTTATTTAAATTATTAAAATTGGTGAAGTTTTGTTCATTTTCAAGACACTTTAAAAACCTAAATTTATAACCGTAGAAACACAACACTTATTTATTATTCATTATAAATAATCAAGTCTAACACTATGTCAAATTTATGCTTTAAATATTGAGGAATAAAATATAATTAAAAGGAAAATGCTTTTCTTATTCAGAGTTTAATCATTTTTAGTTTGTATCTACTATATTGGCCTCCATCTGCAAAACTGTAAATATATTTTTTATTAAATAGGCCTAATATTTATAATAGATATTTATACTTTCTCATCTGTTATATAACTTGTTAAATAATTAACTATAGCATTTCAGTCTGCATTAATTTTGAGTAATATAATTTTTAAAATTTCTGAAATCTATCGAAGACAAAATTAAGTGTAAGGTCGCTAAATGATTGATATGCACTTATTTTTTTAATCAATTCTTTAAAATAAGAGCTATTAAAAATGCTAAAAATAGATTTATTTAGACAATTTATTAGGTTTAGTTACCTAAAAGATAAAATTTAACTTATAACAGCGTATGCGTATGCCTTACATCTTAAAACTTAAAATACCTTTAATCTTTTAGCGAGTGTGTAAAATCAGCTCTAATTATTACCTTTAAAATAATAATTATTTAAATTGGTTAATGTAAAATGCGATTAAATAAATCATTTAAATGTAATACAAAGGCTACAAGTTATAAATTTATTTAAGGATTCGTTTTAAGTTTACTTCTCCAGTTTGATCATATTTTTCTATAAAATTTAAGACTTGTAAATAAAGTAATTTACAAACAGATAACGCTAAACTATAAATATATAAATAAAATTTCACTTAAGATAGAACTGAATCCTAATAGAAGACAGAAGAGAAATGTCTCAATAGTTTAAATCTGTTCAATATGTTACCGAAGATATGTTCAAGAACAAACCCATTAACTTATATGAACTACTTTTTCTGTCCTAGTTTTAAATGTTTACGATCGACTTTCATTTATACAGTTAAGTATACATTTTGAATGCGATTTCTTTACTAATTTATGCTATTTAATCATACTTTTTCCATCGATATAGGTCTAAATATTATTGATATGTATCGTTAAACAGAACTAACAGATAATAATTAGATATAGATTTTTAAGTAAAACATTTAAAGCATTATTTCATTAGCTACCACTACAAAATTCTATAAGTTAATAATTTCTAGAATAAATAAGGTTTCAAAATTATAGTTTATTTATAATTGATTATTTAAATAAATTCTACAATGTCGGATACATTTTAATTCATCTTAAATAGTATTTTAAAACTAAAAAAACATGCAAAAAAATTTATTCTGATTAAATGCCAAATTTTTAATATAGTTTTTAATAAATTTTAAAGTTTAATATTAAATATAAAACAAATTCTAACTTATTTGAATTTGAAATGCTTCATTTAAACCGAATGCTATTTACGTCAACGTTTTAAATCGAATCAATACAACATTTATATATATATAATACATACAAAATTGATTTTAATTTTTAAAATTCTTTCAGATTCTGCTGCAAAAAAGGGACGTATAAAAATTTCTTTGATTCTTCTGAGAATGGTTAAATTAAAGCTATTAAACAAAACGTGGAAAACAATATTTCATTATAATTTAAATTAGCTTTGCATGGAAATGTGACTAAATGTGTTTTAAGATCTTATCGGTTATTTTAACGGAAGCATATTATCAAATGGATTGTAAATTCAAAAACCATTTCTGTTAAAAAGCACATTTATATAGAATGGGCTGAACTTCGAAATATATAGAAAGAAAAAAA